GGGAGTGCTGGGAGCCGGAGGGAGGATGGCTCTCCCCACATCTGCGGACTTCTGCAGCCAAGGAAGGTGCTCGGTGGTGCTGGCAGGCCGAGCAGCGCGTGCTGGAACCAGCGGAGGCCCCCCACCCTGCGCTGGAGGGGTGGGTCGCTCTGTGAGCGGGGCTTCCACACACCTTGCCAAGCCCTTCCCGGCCTGGGGGGATCAGCCTTTTTCGAGGGCCCTTGGAAGCTGGCGTTAATGCAAGCAGAGGATTTGCTCTGGGTCTTCTCTGCCTTGTGATCCCACCTGCTGAGACCCAAGACAGTCAGCAGTCGGGAAGCCTCGACGGCAGGCCTGACACAGGGTGACTGGGTTCAGTCAGTTGGGATGAGGCGATTGCCTGATGCCCACGTCAGTTGTTTGGCTTGCCTTTGAAGCAATTCTTCGAGATTTCATTGTCTGTGCTTCACTCAGTTTCTTCTGCTGTGGACTCGGCTGCAAAACATTCTCGCCTCTCACAGTTTGCCTGGTCTGGGTCCTTTGTTTCCCCGTGGATGGTGGAAGAGGCAAGGCAGGGCAGAGAAATGGACTCCCCCACAGGCACTGCAGTTTCCAGAGCCAGTCCCTTCTCTGGGGTGTCGGTGCACCCGTTTGGTCACTTGGCTGTAACAGGTGGCATAGTTCATCTGGCATCTGGAAAGGTACACCTCAGAAACAGGTAAACGGAAGAAAAAGGCTTTTACATCTCAGAAGCTGGTTGTAGGCAGGAGCAGAAAGATCCATGTTAGCTTGGAGAGAAGGCTGGGAAAGAAGGTGGAAAGTCTTCATCCTTTCCAAGCCTGGTCCCCACAAACACAAAAAATGTTTGGGTTGTTGAAATCAATCCAACCAATGCCAAAAATGCACACAAGAGAAACCCTTTGCTGAATGTGTGTGTTTCATAAACCTGCCATTCGCCTGGGCTAGAGAAACACGCTTTCTGATGGCGTTTGGACGACGAGAACATAGTTTTGCACAATTTCTTCTGTACAGAGACGGTCCTCTCCCACATGCATAGATTCAAAATGCCCCAACCCACTGTGAGTACGGGCCAACCTGACCTAGCACCCATTTCAACCAGACAGTCAATGCTTGGGCGTTAAGATGAACACGAGTGCTTATGTTCATGGAAAGAAATATTCTAGCACGATGTTTTGCCTCTTTGTCTTTCTAGCCACCCACATCCTTGGGCTGGCAGAGAGAAACAGAGCGAGTCAGAAGGGGCCTCCCGGGCCATCTAGTCTGACCCTGGCTCCAGCCGGCTCCGCTCACGACATGCCCATTATGTGCATGGACTCAGCCTCCAGCAAACATTAGGCTACTGTAAGGGAATTTTTATTTTAGGGCCATCAATTAAAATTTTTATTTTCCTTTAATGTTGGTGTAAAACACACCCTATCGATTCCTTTCCTTGTGAATTTTGGGGCCTGATCAGAAATATTTGGCAACATTGCAAAAAAGTGGGGGGGGGGGCAAACTTCTTGTGGAACCCACAGGGAAAAAGTAGCCTCATAGGGATTGGAAAGAAATCACGCTCCCGCTCCTGCACGTGCATGCCGCCTCCGAGTTTCCATCATTCCCCTCCAATCGTTCACTTGTGGCATAGCAATAACAGATGGTATGCTCAGAGTGCAGCGCATGGGGTTTTAGACCTGATCCAGACCCACATTGCACAAGAGAAAGGAAGCTATCCACTCTCTGAACACAGAGGAAAACTGCCGGTGGACGCAAGCAATTGATACATGCCCACAGCGCCGCTTGGAGGAGGTTTCCCTTCCTAAAAAATTCCTCCAGCCCCTCACTGAGAGTGCCTGAGGGGCTTTTGTTTTAACCCCATTCTTTCCCCCAACAGATGCGGCCCCAAAACTGGCAAGGCATCAAACAGTGTTCCCACTTTCTGGCAAGGAAGGGAGCGGCACAAGGATTGTTTCTATACAACCCCCCGCTCACGGGGCCCTTGCACAGGGTCCTGTGCCCGCAAGCGCGGTTCAGAGGGCCCCGCATGTCCTCACCTCCCGCTTCCGGCTCGTTTCTGTGGGATGGGGAAGGAAGGAAGGAAGGAAGGAAGGAAGGAAGGAAGGAAGGAAGGAAGGATGGAAGGAACCCCACGCCAGCACGCATGCCCTGGTCACCGCCTGCTGCCCAGCCGGACTCAGCCTTTGCAGGCCAGGCCAGGTGCCACACTCTCCCCTCCCGTGCGCGCCTGGCTTGCAGCCTTGCCCTGATCTAACAGGACAGAGTGGGGGGGCTGTGCGGGGGGGGGGGCGTCTGTTTCCTGAGGACCCCCCCAAACCCTCTCAGCTGTGCCGGCCTCCCAGGAGGGGGAACACTTTGCAATGCAAACAGACAAGATGGAACACACACTCCAACAACTGTGAACACAAGGCTTCCCCAAACAATGAACACAAAGCTTTACACAAATCCCCAGTGCAAACCATGTCCTGCACTCATGCGTGCAGATCTTTGAGCAAATCCCTCGTTTTGTGGTTCCTGATACACCGATTACAAGATCTGGCATGCAGATGTCTCCTTTGTTACTAGCCTTCGTTCCTAATTTTTTTCCCGGTCAGCGCAGCTAAATAAATACCCAAACGCCCAAGAAAGCTGCTGTCCTTCTACACAAAGGGGAGCAGTCACTTCCCAGTCAGAGGGGCCCCCTGGGCCCACCTAAGA